CCATTTCCCATTGTTTTGTACATGACATTAGTTGGGTGCACTAACCCAGACGCTTCCGACTCATCTTAACTTGTAAAATACATACATGTATTGGAGCCGGGCTTTCATTCCTAGGACTACCATTCCAGTCACAACGACCCAATCTTCTGTTCGGTACAGATGCACTAAGAGATAGTTCGCACGCCGCACTACATCGCAAGGTCAGGGGTCACAGTAACGAGGTTAATTACCATCTGGGTTTGGTATTTGACACCAGAAGCCGAAGAATACTTTAATTATCAAAGAAAAACACGTCGTGTATGTTGACTGAAGCTCATAAAGGTGTTGCAAACCAAGGTCAAGTATTCAAACCATTCAGCCGGGCTTGTACTATTAGTTGACTTTTGAATAAGCGTCGCTGCATAATCATTGTGAGGTGGCTCCCGTATTGGTTTCCCCATACACTGGCGTTGTAAATATACATAAAGGCACCATAAATGAAACTCCCCTCGCAGCGATAACCTACCTTCGTAAGGTTCTGCACCGTTTATTCAAGTTTACTTCAGCTGGCACCTCTATCCTATGGGAGCGATCGATTTCGTCGTCTTTTCCTTACAACACGTTTTTATTATTAGATCTTTCTGGCAACTTGATACCTGCAAAATGTACCTGTTATTCGTATTTATTTATCTATTTGCTTTTGGAGGTTTTCGTTTGTATGTATGCAGTGTGGTTCGCAGTCATCGATATCAGTGAGTGACACGTTTTACAAGTGTACCCATAATTTCAAAAATGCGTTCACTGAACACAGCGAGCAACGGAGAGTTTTTTCTTAGTTTTTTTTCTGATGACATTAAATCTAATCCTATATTTCAACTGTCAAGTCACAAGTATGGTATGGGCACCGAAAAACTGTGCACCGACAGACCGAAGAGTCACTAACACCCCATTCTCATAGATTAGATCGACCTACATTGGATCGACCTAACTCCCTGGGGGTTCACGCTAAATAGCTGTCAGCCGGGCGGACACGAAAGTTAATTACCCCTTAAAGCTTGTAGTAGGCGGGGACGGACACTTAAGGGGGATTATCTGACAGTAATCTAGTGAGACTCCCCGCGGTGATAGATCGATCTAAAAGTTGTGAGAACAGAGCCTTAGTTAACAATCTCACCAATTTCTATTGCAATCACTGACACCAGGACACTGATAATAGTCGTCTTATACAAATAAAGATATTTTGGGGGTCGGCGTTCTAAAATTGCGCTTCAGCGTCGTCATGATTGTAAAGGTAACGAGAATGCACTGATGTACCGATGCACTGGGTGTAAATCGCTTAGTAACGTCAAGTCACGTGTACGTGACTCTGATACCAAAGCACCGTGAAAAGGGAGCATCTTTGAGCTACGCGCACTGCGGGGTAAATTAGAAAGTACCCAATGCTCACCTGGGGGAGTACTCAGTGATCGCCAGGGAGGATTTAGTGCTCGTGGAGCACCCAGTGCAAAGCCATGTCGCAATCCTCCCCTGGACCAGCTATATATATAGCTGCATACACACACACACACACTCACACATACACTCGCACTGTTGTACGCAGAGAAGAAAAGACCGTGGAAAGGAGATTGACCGACTCGCACTTACACACGACAAAAGCATTTGTAAGTTCTCGCCGAGCAGTAACCACCCTTGCTGCGCGTCACCATGCAACCGCTGCTCGCGATGCACGTGCGAGCGCTCGTGCTGATGCATGTTGTCGGCGGGATCTGCGGGGACAACATTCTGCTGTATCCGTACTCCGTGTTTTTTAATTCCCGAATCATGAACATGGAGAAGCTTGCCCTCATGCTGCGGGATCACGGACATAACGTTACCATACTGGTGGAGGCAGCGTATCAGCCAACCCGACCGCTCGCGGGGGTCCACCTGGAGAAATTCACCGTCAAAAACACCCCGCTCGTCTCTCGAATCAAACAGCACTGGGACTTTAAAGCGGCATTAGAGTTCGTGCACATGTCCTTCCCGAAACAAATCGCGTTCATAGAAGAAGTCAGTTATTCCGTGGGTGACAGTTTGCTTGGGGATCGTGAAGTCATGAATAGAATCAAACACGGCAACTATTCTCTCTTCATCTACGACTGGATTGATTTGTTTGGACCAATCCTTGTCCAGTATCTCAACATTCCGACCATAATCTACTCAAACTATGGGTTCGAAAACTGCTGGTCAATTTTTCATAACCCGGTCAATCCGGCATATATCCCCGTTATTCAAGATGACCACGGGTATTCCGACGAAATGTCCTTCTTCCAACGCCTGCAGAACGCTGTCTTATTTTGGGTAACTGAATATTATCTAAATATCGCCGCCACTAACAAAATTGAAAATCTGAAGAGAAAGCATTTCCCCGATGTCGACTGGCCCCACGTCAGATACGCTGGAGAAAAAGTGTCCCTTATTATCGCTGCCAACGTCCACTTCGCCTTCGACTATCCACGCCCTGTTATGCCGCACGTGAAACCAATATCCGGGCTCCTACACACGGCCCCCCGCCCGCTGCCCGCACACCTAGAGGCCTTCATGTCATCTGCTGCAAACGGTGTCATTTTGCTGAGCTGGGGTACTGCCATGGCAACGCTGGATAAAGACCAGGCAGAAATACTAGCAAAGGTATATATTTTGATTTGGCATACTGCTTTGTGAACCGAAACTACTTTTTTAAAATATTGTCTTTCCATTCAATGCCTGTGAGGAATTGGGCATTTTTATATTTTAAAACGAAATTTTAGTGTTGGCATTGAGTTCTCATGTTCTCACCCCACATTCAATAGGCCCTCCCTTAGACAAGCATTTACAAGTATTATGAGCGCTTATCATTGTTTATCTACAACCTGTGCAAAGGTTATTATTTGACCTCAGATGCCCTTTTGAAATACGACTGTACACAACCCATGAAGAAAACAGCGTAAAATAAGGGCAAACGTTTGAGTGGTCAACTTAAAATGGAGGGGCAGTATAGATTATTCAGAACCTCAACGCCAGAGTACCTTTAAAATTCTTTGAGAGTATTTTTATATGAAGGGAGTACAATATATTATGTACAATATATTGACATTTATGCAGAAATTTAACGTCCAAAATTAACACTAATATGGACGTAAATATATGTCTTCGATTAAGTTAAGTTTTTCAATCCATGTATATCCAAATATTTTGTATTTATAATTCCATAATGCCGTCTCTCTACTTTTATTTTCTTTTTCAACTGTTGCTACATTATATTTCACGATACTTCAATCATAGGGCATTTAAAAACAACATGAATAAATTATATTGGGCAATAATGCATTCACAGGTATTCGCAAAACTCCCCCAGAAGGTGATATGGCGGTACAAGGGGCCCCCACCGGCACACCTGGGCAATAACACCCTACTGGTCGACTGGTTACCACAGAACGACGTCCTAGCTCATGCCAACACCAAGCTCTTCATCACCCACTGTGGCGTCAGTAGTAGCTGGGAGACCATGATCCACGGGGTGCCCGTAGTGGCGGTGCCGCTGTGGGGCGACCAGTATCATCAGGCAACCAAACTGGTCACCAGGGTGAAAATGGGCGTTAAGATCGAATTCAAAAACTTAAATGCTGACGACTTCGAGAATGCCATCCTAAACGTGCTACAAAATAGCGATTATAAAGAAAATGCCGTGAAGATATCGGAGTTACTTCGTGATCAACCCTTGCCTGCGAAGGAGCAGTTTCTTTATTGGGTTGATTACGTCATACGTCATAAGGGTCCGCTTTTCTTTCGGTCATACGCCACCTATCGTCTGGCGTGGTACGAATACTTTTTGTTGGACATTATGCTATTTATTTGTGCCCTTTTCATGTTCGCAATTTTTTTGTTAGTTTGGTGCCTTAGGTACGTAAATAAAGGGACAATTTATTTTTCGAGTTCGCTTTTCGGCACCAAGGAGAAGAAGACAAATTAAAAAAACAAAAACAGTTATGGTTGTATGGCATTTTTTATAAGCGGAGAATGTATTTCTTTTCTTTTTTACTTTAATGAACAACATTCACGCCATGTTATTGCTTTTTCTGTATATTTTGTTCTATTTAAGCAGCGTATAATTATTATGGAATTTTAAAGTCGTTAATAATTTAAATAAATAGCCTATTTATCCATGACAAATATGTGTGACAAGTGACAAGTGGGACAGCAAGTAGGCCTAATGCTTGTTAATCTCAACTGTTTTGAAGACTGACTTCATCAAAACAAATCTTTTAACATTTTCAGTTAAAGTATCATCGAATTTTAATACCAACACACTTATAGGTTACTGAAGCCAAATTTAACGTGGAAAACATTCAGGAATTGCTGTTGGCTGGTATCCATTTTCCCTATCATATCTTAAATTTTGTACTCATAAGTTTTTTTTGTGTGCGAGTGAATGTATTATGATTTTCATGAATCTAAAATGCTGATAAACTTTGAGTGCACAGAAGTGATATCTCACCGCTGGAGTTGTACATTGTTTGTATAATCTGATTGTGTTTGTTGTGATATTAAGCTTTTCTAGAGCAATATGTCAGCTATCAACAACTGCAACAGAGCTGATAGTTTTACTTTTATCATGGAATCCACAGAGGAACATTATGCGTGGCAATAGCAAAATCTCCCTACGTTTGTTTTGAAAAAAAATGGCATAACTCTATTTTGTGCATATTTATACTTGTGGTGTATTTGTATGGTAGGCCTATATTTAATATACTTTGTAGCTTTCAACCATGACGATTTATTTTTGATTACTACTAAATTCCTTTAGATATCAGTAAATTGTGACCAGAATCATCATGTGCCAACGTTAAGAAATGAATAAATATTATGTTTTGATTTTTAAGTAATGTAAATGTTCCAATAAATATATACAAATAGTGTGAGAGCACACACACACACACACAGAGAGAGAGAGAGAGAGAGAGAGAGAGAGAGAGAGATACAACTTTCTGGAAAAACAAAAACAAAAAACTCTGTCATCTTCCACCAATTTAATTGTATCGTCACATCCTTTGCTCTGATAATATTCCGTACAAAATTTTGATCTTAACTTTCTGCAACTAAGCAACTAACAAAGGCACCGTTATTTCGCTTGATTGAATTGAATTTTATTTTGTGTGTTAATCATCCCTTTGCAATTTTGTTTCATAAGTCCACTAACATTGCAATAAGCTTTGTCCAGTATTCACCACTGACATTTTTGACATTAATTACATATTGTCAAGTATGTTTTGTATTTTGTATTGCATTCTTAGATGTTAATGCCTCACACGAATTGTGACTAGTGGCTGCATATTAGGATTCCATTGTACATGTATTTCATTATATACCATCATTTATGCTATTATTGATAATATTATCAATTCAAGGCGCTATGACAAATTTCAGAAACAAAATGTTTATGTTAGTGGTGCGACTCTTGTATGTGCGGTAGGAGAAGAACAAAGGCATTTACTTTTAACGTACACACCAGGGCAACAACTGCATTTCAGAAGTGTGCGTTGTGTGAAATGGATTTCTGGGCACTCATGGTTGTATTTGTCATAACCGCAAACGTTGATGTATTCGCATGCAGAGCTTGCAGTGTAGCCCCAAATGTCCTCGGGCATCTTACCTCCTTCACATCTAAAAACGTAGGTGAATACCTTTGAATCAACAGAATGAAAGACTTTATATGCAATTTTTTGTAAAGCCCTCTTTTGCTTGCCCTTGTCTACAGCAGAATCTGAAACAATGAAGCGTAAATGCGTAAATGATTTTAATGCAATGATGAGATCAGAAACTTGGGGTTTTGCTCATTCAAACTTCAATTGCATTTTATCGTTATGAAATTGTGACAATAGGAAACGCTGTAGAGCTAGTTTTGGTTAATGTGACATGGAGCACGGCAATGACAACTAGCAGTTTCAAATGGTGGGTTCTTTTTCTGAAAAAGTGGACCTTTAACCATGAGGGGATATTTTGCAGCAAAAAGGGAGGTTCTTTCGAACCCCCTGAACCCCCTGGCTAGGGGCCTGAACTCTCTTGACATAATTTAATAGCACGGAGATAGCAATGTTCCATCCATTTATATTTTACACATGCATCATTTCACAAGAATCTCTCGACAAACAGGAGTGTCTACTTTAGTAGAGAAAATACTGTAAAAGGAAAGCATAGCGCAAGGCTCTCACGTAATATACAAGTTGAATTAGGATTTACTATTCATATTACATTGTCGGACAGAATCATTTCATTTATTTCCACAAAATCTTACCTGCAAGAAACTTGGCGTTAGGCGGCAACTTGTATGTAGTACTGTTATGGAGTGGCCGACCACCCAGGAATGTAATGGCGTCACTTGTCAGAAAGGAAAGGTCGGTGATTGGTTCGAGGCTCACAGAAAGATATTGATGGACAACCAAGGAGGCATTAGCGCTCATTTGGCCCCCCTTTATCTGAAGAGGAAATGTGAATTCATACATCATTATTGTATTTAGGATTCCTTCAATTGACAGGTTACGCAAGAAACGTGGCGAATTTCAATCCATTTGTATAATAGCAATGAAAAAAAAGTAATAATTTGTTTCTTTCAACGACGCTACACGTATGCCTCAGGGCTCTGTCCAAAAACTTTTATATATGAATTAAAAACTACTAATATTGATTTAAACTAATAAAAAGAAAAAGAGCTGAATGAAATACAAATTAATTGTAATATTTTTTTAATTTTTTAAATTTATTATTTAAAATTAAATTTTTTTTAATTTAAGACTTAATGATTTATAAAGGGCTATGAAAATAAATATTGTAAAAAGCGTGGTGATTATCAATACATTGGGATGATTGCAAGCGAATAACAGTTACGAAATATGTCTTTTGCTTAAAAAGCGGACTTAGAAGTAATAAAAAAATACCATGCCTGTCATGATTTTGGTTGCTTCTAAGATTAACATAAATGATAAAATCTCTTATTTAAATACAGATGTAAAATGACATTTAACGGAAAGTGTCTTTTAAGTAATAACATAATACATGTATGTTCGTATTTTTTTAGTTGTGTTGAGTCACCTGCACATTTTCCATGCCTCTCTTTAGTGCATCAATATCACCAAACCCTGTGTCCTCCACCTGTCTTAAAATACAGTATCCGTCTCTTTTGTAACACAGAATGGAATGACCCTGGGCAAAAAGAGTATTATTTAGTTTCTCTGAAAAATTAGGAGCATTTGTTAGTTCATGTAGCCGCTTACCATTAAAAATGTACCCAAAAGTTTTAGAAAAGCAAGGCTCGGTTACAACATCGCTGCTCATACCCGCATTAGCCACTACATTACTACACTTCAAGTTAAAATTGACCTACAAACATCGATGAACAAAAGTATGTACATGTATGTTGTAGTCTTCTACGAATAAAATCGTAATTAACATGTTTTGAAACAAATGTTGCTTCATTTCGATTGAAAAATAACCTTGTACCCTTAAAAAGCTGCTTTGGACACCCACGGCATTTTTGTTCTATTCGAATGCTAAAGCCTCGGTCACAACCGGCCGCACGGGCACTAACGCGCTGTTTGCATTCCAATTTTGAGCAAAATCTCGAGTTCATAGACAGCTCGTAAACACGTACGGAGGATATTGGACATGTCCAAAAAATTCTACAAATAAAGCCTCAGTCACAACCGGACGCACGAATTTTAGGATCGTACGGCCCCTGCAAATTTCGTATAGGTAGAGAAAAGTTTGAAATGGAAAGGCACAAGTCTGCCTTGCGAGTCGCAGGGTGCACGTGAGAAGCAGGGACTCTAGTTGCAGGGTGCGATGTACTCATTTCTTGAGTTTGTCTTGCTACCTGTGTACATGGCACGCACTCACCATTTATGAAGAGAATGCTACGCACAGCGAAAGTATTTTCCTTTTGCTTCACGTAAGCCGTCAGTACTGAATCACAAGCGGGAGAGGCAAGTATGAAGCAAAATGGAACTATTTTCGCCGTGCGTTGCATTTTTTTCGTAAGTGGTCAGTGCGTGCAAGGTAGCAAAACAAAATCAAGAAATGAATACAATGTTCACGGCCATCGCACCTTGCGTCCCTGTTTGAATGGACATCTCATGGTCCCCGCGACTCACAAGGCAGACCTGCGCCTTTCCCTGGAAACCTTTCCTCTACCTCCACGAACTCAACGGCCTCTACTGCACCAAAAATTCGTAGGGGACGAACGGTCCTAAAGTTCGTGCGGCCGGTTGTAACCGAGGCTTAAGAGAAATGATTTTGAAAAGTAGTATATGGCAAACACTCACATTTTTAATGTCACTTAAGGTCTCCGTCTCTTGTAAGGTGTTGTGGGCAGGGACATGAACATAGGTCTGCCGCTTTACCATGTCGATTTCGACCTTTTCAATGAAATCAGCTTTACCCTCTCTTACTTGGACACTGAAGTACTGTAAGAAATATTTAAAGATGACACATTTGGCCGTATAGCTTGCAAGTATACTATCAAACCCCGTTAACATTTCAAATACTATAATTACCATAGTTAGAGACCATTCCCAGAGACTATGACTGGGTTCCCATACCTATTTCGATCTAACAGGATCGGTCCATCTCCACCGAGTTGCTCGCTAAATTGCTTTCAGTTTAAGTGGATTAGATGTCTGGTAGCCAACTAAAGCTGCTGAACGATAGTTAATTAACCCCCAATCAGTTTCAGTAAGCGTTACAGACATCTAAGCCGCTTAAGTTGATTGCAATAAAACGAGAATCCCCTTGGAGATAGTTCGATCCAAAGTTAGTACGATAGGGTCAGGGAATGGTCTTTGTAGGAATTCTTTAGTAGGCGTCCCAGACGTATTTAGTTTTGTAAAGTTGGCTTACTTAAATAGTTTTAGATTCCGTAAATAGTTGTAGTACTACAATGTATAATAATTTTTTTAAAATGATATATATATATATATTTAATGTGCCATTATATATATATATATATATATATATATATATATCATTGTTGGTTAGAAATATACCGGGTACATATAAATATAATGGCACATTAAATGCACGGGAGTTATACAACGAATACGATTGACCATTACCTCCTTCCACACTGGGCTTCCAGATACCTGATAGGCAAAACACACCATAAAAATAACAAGCGTCTTCAAAGATGCCATGCTGAAAAAAAAAACACTGAAAATAATATGCCCTTATACAAGGCTTCCAGGGAAAGATTGATAAGGAGGGGTAGCTTGAAGTGACACAATATAGATATTTAATCAGCAATAAGCCGTCAAAACAGATTTATACAATGGATAGGATGTCAAATTAATATATTCGCTGCATGATACAAACATTTGCTATTTACCTTCGGTTTTAATCGTCGGTATACTTATTTTACTTGTATAATGATTTCTGATGTTTTTGTAAGATGTATGAATACCTGGCGTTTCATAATGACTGCAAGCACATTTTCTATCTCCCTAAGAGACCAAAGAGAAATATGTTGTATATATTACCTGTATAGGAAGACACAGCTTACCTTTACTATTTAAGCAAAACAGTCCGCGTAGCTGTCTTCAAGTCAAATTTAAGGCTCAGTTTCCTAAACACAGTGGAATGACTACAACTGTTTCAACGAGTCTCAGTGGACACTTATATACAGTTATGTGACCTTGGCTATGATACGGAGTTAGTTGACAAATTCAGTGATTGGTCAATTACACAAACCGGGAAGAAAAACTTTAGAAAAATATAAAACATCCATTCCATGAAGAATTCTTTAAGGAAAAAATGATGCCCCAAAGATGTATAATTAATTACAAACCAGGGCTCAAGTTCCCTCAAATCTGGACACTGCACATTATTGGACGCCTAATTCTTCAAGGGTAAAAAGGACCCTAGACTCCCCCAGGGTTTCTAAGAACTTGAGTGTTGATGTAGGATACCATTGGTTACTTTCTTATCAAAGAGGAAGACGTTAAGGACAGTTCACCTGAACTCGCGACAAATGTGTCCCAAATGGGAGGTAAAAAGGTCAGACTGCTAATTCCGACTGTTTGCTGTTGAAGTTGTAACATAAACATTTTGATATCGCTATAAGGTCAGTGCGACGGAGACATCAATGGCATGTGCAGCTGAGATATCCCTTGGTTTCTTTGAGAGAACGACACAACGTTTGGCACATGACATCCAAGTGAATTATTATATCTTCAACAAAGAAGATTACAAATTATGTATACGTAATTAGATCTGCTCACAGGTGCCTTGTGTATGCATTATACAATGATTTACTACATACTTCAGATTTGTGTCATTCAGGGCATCTCGTCTCAAAGGGTCTTCTTCCAGTGTTAGAGACAAAATCATTTCGGCTTCAAATAACTTTTGTTTGCTGTGGCAGAATCCGTCGAGAATCGTAAAATATTTGATTGCAAAGGTCACAGAAATTTTTCTATGCTCGAAAACATGACTTTTACAGATAAATCGTTCCTGTGCCGATGTCCAAAACAGTTTCTTGCCTAAACGATCTCCGTCCGGTTGCGTTGACTCCAGTTCCAATGAAAATTCTAGAGAAACTTGTTCTGTCGTATATTAAAACCATTGTACCAGAGACACTTGATCCCTTTCATTTTGCATATAGACGCAATAGAAGCGTAGATGACGCTCTTAGTATGTGCATACACAGCATTTTAGAACACGCGGATAAGAAAAACACATATGCAAGGATCTTATTTATAGACTACAGCTCGGCTTTTAATACCATCATTCCACAAAAACTTTATGCTAAGCTTTTAAACGAACTGTAATGTCCTTCATTTTTATGCAGTTGGGTTTTAGATTTTTTATTAGACAGGAGACAAGCTGTGAAAGTGGGTACAAGTACTTCTGATATTGTGGTTCTAAATACAGGTGCGCCTCAGGGTTGTGTTCTGTCACCATGTCTGTACAGCTTGTTCACGTATGATTGTGTTTCATCTCATGAGAGTAATTGCATTGTGAAGTTTGCAGACGACACCATCTTAATTGGCTTAATAAGTGATAATGATGATACCCTGTATAGAGACGATGTCTACTCAGTTGTACAATGGTGTAAAGACAACGATTTGTTACTGAATGTAGGGAATACTAAGGAAATGATTGTTGACTTCAGAAAGAATAGAAATGTGAAAGAACCCATACAAATCAGTGGCACTGCAGTAAAGCAAGTAACCAATTTTAGACTACTGGGGGTAGAATTCAATAGCTCACTTACTTGGAAGGACCACATAGACAAACAGTTAAAAATGCGAGGCAAAGGGCATATAAAACTTTTTAAGAAAGTTGAAAGATTTTACTTCAAATGAAATGATTTTAGCAAACTTTTAAAAATGCATTATAGAAAGTATATTAACATTTGCAATCATAGTATGGTATGGGCGGGCCACTCTAGAAGAACGCAAGCGTCTAGATATGGTCACATCAACGTGCGGCAAAATCATCGGTCTGGAACTCCCCTCTCTAGGTGCCATCTATACTAACAGATCAGTAACAAAAACAGAGAAAATCATGTCTGACTATACCCACCCCACACATGGGCTTTTTAAATTTTTACCGAGCAACTGCAGACTTTTAACTTTTAAGGGATCTAAAAGGTTTTTAAAGAGTTTTAACCCATGTGCTGTGTCTTATTTTAACAAAAATGGAAATTTATAATTTGTTTATAATTTGTAACCCGAATAGCAGTCCAATTTCCGTTTTATATGAATTTTTTTATATATATTTATACATTAATGGCTGAATAAACTAATCTTATCTTAACTTTTATCTTAAATTTTAGGGATTTTAGTTGTAGCGTCTTAACTAACGTTCAAAAGGACGATTTTGAGGTCAAGAGGTCAAACTGCTATTTGCATTGCTTGTCCTTACCAATTTAACGTAAATATATGAGGCTTTTAAGAAATACCGCTGGCAGGATTTTGGAATGCTAACTGGTTTTATAAAACTGGCGTTAAAACGGCCTTCGTGGTTGCTCACGTATAGGAGAAATTTGAATTGTTTTATACCTTTACACAAAAATCGCAATTATGACGCCACTCGTAAAATGACGTGTGTGCACGTTAATTTAGTCTCTGAACACTGAAGATTTATCCGTTATTCAAAAAATGTATGTAAGGCAGTAAAATTGGAGTTGTTGGCAAACACCTACAATATCCTTAAGTTATATATGTATCTTAAAGACCCTAAGTTAGAATTCGAAAAATAAAACACTTGCTGGAAAGGAAATGGGAGTTTTATTTTACCTTTAGGAGGGGGCATCCTTGACTCTAATGGCATGTTTCACAAAAGAAAGTTAGAAAAAGAGTTGGTCTTTAATTTTTTTGACTTCGGGCATGTTGTGCAGCGGTACCGGTGTGATTATTGTACTCCGGATTCATAGAAAAAATGCTCATGCTTTCGTTGTTTCCGTCTATTTCAGTCATAGTTATTTATAACCTATATATATGTGGAATGTTTGGGCTCTGGTCTATTTGGATATTTTCATGGCACCGCAAATATAAGTTGTTGATAGAATTCAGGATAAAATATAATAGTAAAAGAAAATACGTCGGTGAAGGCAAAATGCAAAATTTGTATTTTGTTCTTTGTTATTCTTTTTTTTATATTTTCACTCGAAATTTTCAACAATTTTGGAGTAATATTTGTTTTGAAGTTCTGACAATTTCAGGAAAATGTTCCACATAGTTTGCAAGACATGACGAAATAACAATGCGAGTAGAGATCACCACCCTAACTTTGCTCGAAAGAATACGGCACGCACGCGATTACTCACATTGTTGCACGGCTATAGCTAAAATTGTGCAACACAAACATATGTACATGCATTTTGTATGATAGTTGAAAGAGAGAAAAATAGGGATATATATATATATATATATATATATATATAGAGAGAGAGAGAGAGAGAGAGAGAGAGAGAAACCAAACAAACAAAAACATTATTACCACATATCAGTTTTATTAATTTAATTGATGAAATTTATCAAAGTGTCCAAAAATAGAATCTTCATTTAACGTTATTAATAGCATAACTAATAACTCTTACCATAAATATAGCCCGTAGTGAGTGTTAATTATTTAGTAGAGACAGTCATTTGAATAGGCTGCATGCTACTCCAGCAGAGAGACTTATGATAAGACAACATATATAGGTACTACATCATGTAGCAACTACATCGTGCTTATCTCAAGTAAAATGTAATGTAATATCACCGACCAAGCTATGACTTATGGGCGGCCAAAAGGGCAAAAAATCATGTCGTCGATTCAGTTATGTTTCGTCGATTCACTGCCTTCCCATCGATTCAGTTTCAAGTTTAAACGATCCTGTCATAAATTCAACACCTACTTCAGTCAATTCAATTGTCAAACATTTCTCATCTACGGTGTATTAAATAAAACAAATGCTCTCACTATTTTCGTCGATCGTGTAACTATTCTCGTCGATCGTCTAATCTCGTCGATCGTGTAACTATTCTCATCGATCGTCTATTCTCGTCGATCGTCTCATCGATCGATCGTCAGAGGGCGCTGCGGTAGCAACACGTGCTTCTGTCTGTCAATCACGCGGTAATTTTTTACTCAGCCAGCCACGGTCAGAGTTGAAAACAACTAGAAAATAATGTCCCTACAACCGAATAGATTTTAATTATTTTAAAACAACTAAAATTGTAATTGTTGAGAAAATGTTCTTATTTCACTAGCAATCATTTTGTTGTCTGCCATTTTGATAGTCATGTGATAGGCCAATGTGCTACCGCAGCGCCCTCTGGCGATCGATCGATGAGACGATCGACGAGAATAGTTACACGATCGACGAAAATAGTTTGACGATCGACGAGAATAGTTACACGATCGACGAAAATAGTGACAGCATTGGTTTTAATACACCATAGATGAGAAATGTTTGACAATTGAATTGACGAAAGTAGATGTTGAATTTATGACAGGATCGTTTAAACTTGAAACTGAATCGATGGGAAGGTAGTGAAACGACGAAACATAACTGAATCGACGACATGAATTTTTGCCCTTATGGCCGCCCATAATGACTATATGACACATTACAAATGATTTTATAATAACAGTAGACGGTGTTTTCTCACTATAAGGGAGTAGTTCTCTCTATCGACAGACTTGTTTAAGATAAAATTGGTAAACAATATGATCCGGAGAATTAGAATTACCAATGAAAGATGTCGTCTAAGCTGAACTGTAAAATCTTTCGCACACTTCGTCTAATTTACTCCTGCCAATGTTACGACCCGTTGGCTTCTGAGGTGACAATATCCTACAGAAACGGTTCCATTCATAAAAACATGTCCCATTCATAGCAGTAAAAATACCCGTTGCCATCAATAACAGCCATAACAGTCACAACCACTATCGTCAATTAAACCACTAGAGACAAGACACTCGAATCATATTCATTAGTATTTAACATAGTAGGATGTGGAGGTATGGCATGTATCTCAAACACATGTAAAAACACATTATATAATATACAATACATATGGCAATATATTGTTATTTTTCCTGGTTGTGGCAAAATGGGGCAATTTCCAATTGTTTTACGTTTTAAATATTAACCACATGTTTTCCAAATTTTTATTGTTTTATTTTCTCTGACCACAAAGGATTTGAGGAAATATCTAACCCTCTAAAAGATTTTAGCCTATAATACCTTGTGTATGTGACATGCATATACATTTACTAAGTACGTACACACCAGGGCAACACAAGTATTTCATTAATGTGTGTTGTGCGTCATGAATTTGTAGGCAGATGTGATTGTAGTTGTCACGACCGCAAACAGTGATGTGTTCGCCTCCTGTGTTTGTCGTGTAGCCCCAAATATACTCTGGCATTGAATTGCAAATAAAATATGATGATGGCTGAATATCTACTGCCCGCTTTTGCTTCCTTTTGTCTACAGAGGAATCTAAAATAATGAAAAATATGTTTAATGCAAGAATGACATAACTGGATGTTTGCATTGCGTTTACAATGAATAATTGTTTAAATGTGACTCAGATTCATTAAGGAGAGTTTGCTCACTCAAAAAGAAATGATGAGATGGATTCCAAAAGCTCATGTTTGTGTGAAGTCTGCTTTAAGGGGAATTGGTATGTTATGAAGGTCCACATTTGTCGAAGTTGATCCAGAACTGTAATCTGGTGCCAGCGTTTGCCGAGGCTGGTGTTGCTAGCTTTCCAGGTGAGAGTTATATGTTTGAAATCGGTATCATACTTTTTAACCCCAAAAGTGGCTGTAAAGTCATATGCTCCAATAGGCAAATGCACTCCGATGAAATTTTGATGTGATTGCTTCATGTTTATCTATGCATTATCAAAGCGAAGAGGTAAACAGATCATTCCGTCTTTCTTAAGTGCAAGGGCAAGTGATTGCTAAATTGTTTAGTCGTATTTACCAATTGCAAAAATGCCACTTTGCTGTAACTTACTAGAGTTAATCTCACATGTACATATACAGTACTTTTTCTGTCACATGTGTGTTAATCATTATCATTTAAAACACCGCTGGCAAAAATAATTAAAGATTCAACGTACAAGTATATATCATGAGTAAGGAGATTTAGCATATATTGCATGTACACTATGTATTTTTTACGGTATCTTACCTGCAAGAAACTTGGCGTTAGGCGGCAGCTTGTATGTAGTACTGTTATGGAGTGGTCGACCACCCAGGAATGTAATGGCATCATTTTTCAGAAAGGAAAGGTCGATGATTGGTACTGGGTTCACGGTGAGGTACTGATGGACAACCATGGCGGTATTAGCGTTCATTTCACCACCGTTTAACTGAAGAAGAAATGTGAAATAATATTGGATTGTTATAGTTAAGAACTAACCATTAACCACATGCTATTTATATATAAGCAAGACAACATGTAATAATTATAGCTTAGGCTGCTCCCATGATTGGCATTATAAGTTTTGTCATGGACAGACAGCCTTCAAATGACATGCAACTGAAAGTGTACTTGTAGTTGTCACAGTTTGTTTTAATTGGATAAATAACAAACTTCTGTGTAATAGACAAGGATTTATTTGACCTGTAGAATAAAGGAAGTAAATGTATGACCGTGCTGGTCAGATACAAGTGACAAAGTCAATCTTTGTTATAGTGAATAAAACATTTAAACAAAATAACTAATTAAATAACCAAACCCGTTTAATAATATAAAATAACTAAACAAATAACTTACTAACAATGTATCAAGGCAATTTGCATTTAAAATAATACTCAGCTCACCTGTAGAATAAAGGAAGTAAATGTATGACCGTGCTGGTCAGATACAAGTGACAAAGTGAAAAGGGCGCGGCAAACGACTACGACTAAGATCACGTGAAGATGATTCTCATCACGTGTGAGAAGTAACCAATGAACGCACACCAAAGAGAGAAAGAAAGAAAGAAGAAATAGATAAATGAATATAGTGAAAATACACGAAACCATACACTGTCACATAGTTATTACATACCTGTAGACATGCGTGTTTGTGAATTTTAAAGTTTTGTTAACTACCTGCACGTTTTCCATGCCTTTCTTTAGTCCGTCAATATCACCAAACCCTGTGTCCTCCACCTTTCTCAGAATACAGTATCCATCTTCTTTGTAACACAGAATGGAATAGCCCTAGACAAAAAAAGTATTTCAGAAAATTTCCCTGAAAATATGGAAGCGTTTGTTTGCCAGTTCATGTAACCGATCACCAACTCAATATATAGTAATGACAAGAGTAATATAAAAGCAGGGGTCGGCATATCACTGTCTTTTATGCCTTAAAATCGCTGCTACATCAGTTGAGAACGTGTCCTACAAACATCATTAGGGCCCGGGATAAAATTGCTCGGATACGACTGTCGTAAACCGCACCTTGACTGCCTAAGGGCCCACTCAGAACAGCGGACTAAATAGTCCATGGGTCAAATATGGCAGTTGAATACTTAGCCACGGGGAATCCATACAGTGTCTATTATGGGATTTGACGGCAAACATTTAAGTCGGTCGCCATATTTGGCCCGCGGACTAGTTAGTCCGCTGTTCTAAATGTAGCTTTTACTTCGCCCGAGGAACGCTTCTTTGGGTCACTGCCCTAAAATAAATGGATGACATAACTGTGTTGGTGAGGAGTTTGCAGCTGCTTTCATAATAGGATGACGACATAAAAAGACAGGAAATGATAATTTCATGGACGGAGAGATCCATATGCTGCATTATTCCTTTTTGATTAAGAAATTAAAAAAATAAAATATGTTAACTTTGCTGTTGTCTTGGATATACCGCAATAAATTCAAGACCCAATGTTTCTCACAAATGTAGGCCTATTCCGAATCAAAATGATATATTTGATATTTGATTGATGCCTGTTAAAAATAAGTTTAACGCTTTGGGGGCAGTGCGATTAATGGATTTGAACAACTTAACATTTGTTTATCGGACTTTTCACTCTATAGTTGAATTTATTGTTGAATACCATGTGACATCACTTAAATTAAGCAAGCTTACAAAAGCCCTTATACTTATTTAATGGACATAATTATGTTGATATATTTAGATTTCGTCTCTACGTTTATTTATCATAAAACATGTATAATATAAAACGTAAAGTGCAACCGGCTTTTCTCGAGCGTATTGTTTTTTTTTAAATCAATTTTTTACTCACTGGACCGAGGCTGCTACGCCTGAATTGTGATCCGATGTAACGAAACTGAGGGTCCGTGTGACAGAAAGTCCCCCCTCCATATAGTTATAAAGGTTAGTCTGACCTAAGTGGGTCAAAATTTAGGGCGAGGCTCACCTGTACAAATGAATGGGAAGCGAACTCTCTGTTATGGGGGACTCTCTGTCCCATTACACCTAGTTTAGATGACCGAACGTATGTATATTTAGTAGTTGTATATTCTTTTTCAGCAATAACTTTTAGACAAAAGCTTAATTTTCGTTGGAATAAAACACCTTGCACATTTAAACAGTTGCATTGGACCGGTGCAGCTTTAATATTTTGCTTTATGCGAATGCTACATGTAAGAGGAATGATTTTGACAGTCACTCACCTCTTTAATGTCACTAAACGTCTCCGTCTCTTGTAAGTCGTTGTGAGCCGGAACATGAAGATATGTCTGTTGTTTGGCCATGTCGATTTCGACTTTTTGTTGGAAATCAGTTTTGCCTTCTCTTACCTGGACACTGAAGTACTGCAAGAAATAATAGAAGACGCATTAAGTTTTTTTACACTGTAAGACTCACAGTAAATTTGTAAATTTAGAAATTTTAGCTTATATATCGCACATATATGCGAGTGCGTGTATGTAACGTATATACATGATAGTTTTTATAAAACAGGGCCTCAGTATAACGTGCACATATCTATATAAAATGACACATAAAATACAAGGGTTTTAAAGGGCAAATTCGAATTGTTCGTTACCTCTTTCCATAATGGACTCCCAAATACCTGGCTGGCAAAACACACCATAAAAATAAAATTCAAATATGCCATGCTGAAAAAATACACCGAACGAAATACATCGAAAGTAATGTACATGTATTTATATTGTGACACTTCAAGCTATTTCTTCTTAATCATCGTCCTCTGGAAGTCTTGCATAAGGACGATGATTAAGAAGAAATAGCTTGAAGTGTCACAATATGAACAAAACAGTTTTTTTAAATGATAGTTACATATTTGATATGTATATTTTGAAAGGAATCATGTTAATAACATCGCAGCATCATACAAAAATTTACCATTTCATTCACCTTTGGTTTCAATTATTGGTATACATTTACCGATATTTTGTTTGCTGATGATTTATAAATGGGGTGTTTCATAAGAACTGCTGTATAAGAAGACAGCCTACCTTAACTCCTTTAATCAAAACAGTCCGCGTAGCTGTCTTCAGGACAAATATAAGGCTCAGCTTCTTAAACACAGTGTCCAGGAAATAACTACATCTGTTTCAACGAGCATCAGTGGACACTTATATACAATTATTTGACCTTGGTTATGACGCAGAGTGAGTTGACAAATTCAATGATTCGCCAGTTTCACAGACCGGGAAGGAAAGGTTTTTGAAAATGTAAAACTTCCATTCCATGAAGAATTCTTGAAGGAAAAGATGATGTCCCAAATATGGATAAATATGGATAATTAATTACAAACCAGGGATCAAGTTACCTCAAATCTGGACACTGCACATCATTGGACGCTTAATTCTTCAAGGGTAAAATGGACCCTAGACTCCCCCGGAGTTTCTAAGAACTTGAGTGTTGATATCGGATACCATTGGTTATTTCTTATCAAAGAGGAAGATGTTAAGGACAGTTCACCTGAACTCGCGACAAATGTGTCCTAAATGGCCATTTGCGAGGTAAAGAGGTCAAACTTCTAACTGAGATTGCTTGCAGTTGAAGCTGTAACATAAACAAATATTTTGATATTGATAAAAGGTCAGTGAGACGGAGTCGTCAATGACATGTGCAGCTGAGATATCCCTTGGTTTCTTTGAGAGAACGACACAACGTTTGGCATATAACAACCAACTAAATTATTATATCTTTAACAAAGAAGATTACAAATTGCTTATACGTAATTATAATTAATTCTGCTCACAGGTGCCTTGTGTATGCATTACTACTACATGTACATGTACAACCATTTACTACGTACTTCAGAACTGCGTCAGGGAATCTCGTTTAAAAGGGCCTTTTTCATTTTTCTTCGTGGTAACGCTACACTTGTTTTTATATCATTATCATTAAGATGTTTCCAGTGAATTACAAGGAACTTATAATGGTGTTTGTTTTTAAACCATTTGTTAGTGAATTTGTGTCAAAATGTTCTTAGTAAAAGTTACATTTGCATTTTTCTCATTAATTACTAGAATTAACAGTGTTGTAGATGTAAACTTCAGTTTCAGATCACGTGGAATGATTTATACTGAAAAATAATTGTTAAGGACAAATCCCTAATTGGTTAGTCTAGATCTGGTTAGTCTAGATTTCTCCAGTGCAATGTGTCAATTTCAATGGCTGCAGAAGAGTTGATAGGTTTATTTGCATCATGGAATCCACTTATTGACAATTTTAAGTGTATCCATGTGAAAACCAGCCCATATGCAGAAAATGCAGCAAGTTGGGGGTCAATAGATTAACACCATTTTGGTGTGTTTGAACATTTATATGAACAATATCTGAGGCTGCAATATTACCTTAAACGCATCCTTACTTAACACAAAAAGTAGGGTAAAATGGCCTTAAAATCACGTTTTTGAGTTTTTTATATGTTTATATTAATAAAAAAGTATCTAACATTGAATGTAATAATGTTTTCAGAGCTTGCACCACAAAATGTGTTTTTGATGAAAGACTGACGACTAAGCCACGCATCTGTTGCTAGGGCCGTTGCCATGAGGGGGCAGAGCAAATGCCCAGTAGCGTTTTGGAGGGGTAATCAGCCAAAAATAAGCTGAAAAACAGGGTAATTTTGATTGGCCTTACAGTTTATGCAAGTATCACCAAATGATTTAGTTTGGTGATAAATTATAACCTAAAGATATGGGATTAAAATGATATACAACATTTCGACTCTCTTTGTTTCTGTGATAACAAACCGAACGTTTATCTCAGGGCCATGAATCACATGCTTTGAACACACCTCTTCTATTTTTGTCAATATATTAATCTTCACGTGTCTTTGGGGTACAAGAACTCCTTTGAAATTCCTGGCTACGGGCCTGACTTAATTTCTGAACAATTTATCAAGTGTAGGTTATGTATATTCTAGTCAAAGTTTATTCAACGATAAGATCTGAACTAAGGTGTTCAAGAAAAATCTCTAGAAATTTGAGAAAACGATTTTTAGTTTTCAATTATGACGCTTTAGTACACCACAACGTGCGCAGCGAATGCCCCTTTTCCGCCGTTTAATCTCACTCTCGTTGAATGTTGTCATTATTATTATTATTATTATTATTATTATAATTATTATTATAAAATCAATGAAACCAATCAATCACAGGGAAAATAACGACGGGGTGACATTTTCTCAATTATTTTTTATTTATTTGTTGACAATTTTTGCAGAATGCGGCAAAGGTGTGATATCGACTATTTTCACGTAGGTTAATGAGCAATCTAAGCTAGAAGGCCTGTCTCAGTGTGTCTCAGAACAAATGGTACGAGATTTCAGTAAGTTGTTTACAGAATCTCATACGAACAGTTATTTTCTCTTCGATTTTATGAGTCGAAAACATTAATAAACTTTGACTGCTCAGAGAGAGAACTAAGCAGTGTCTCATCGAACTGCGCTATGCCGTACATTATGATTGTGACATTAAGCTTCTCTAACGCAATGGGCAGCTATCAGCTGCAGCAGATTTGATAGATATACTTCCATCATTGAATCCACTGAGAAACCATTAATTGTAGCAATTGCAAATTTGCTTAGAGTTTGTTTTGAAAATGTACTTTATGACCAGTCCCTTAATAATTGGCCTACCTGCCCATTACAAAATCTGAGACGTGCATAATATTTCACACTTGACATATGAAGTGGAACTATTCTTTACTAAGACACTAAGTAAAATAAGTCATACACAACAGCTGGGAGCTTCAACCTAAACTATTTCATTTCCTATTTTCTACGATGCTGGCAGTTAAAGAGACGGTGGTAATGGTGGTAGTGGTGGTGGTGGTGGTGTAGTCTCTGGCCACAAGGTGCGCTAGTAGTCTGTTACAAAAGTGTCGTAAAGCACCACAGTGTGATTTTGTACAGTATTCTAATTGATATCAGAGGGTAGGCTGGTGGTGGTGTGTGTGGTTATGTGTGTTGGGAGCGGG